CAGGGGTCTCCACATAGCTGCTCCAGCACCCAGGACTGCATTGGGGTAGGTCCATGCTGCTTCTCCTTGGGGATGTCTTGCAGGAAGTGAGCCTTGCCAGCCGAAGCAGGGATCTGGCTAAGGCAGCTGCACCCTGGTCTGACCATCACAAAGCAAGAGACCTGAGAACTCGAAAGGCGGGGCTCACCGAGCCATTTATCTCTCCACCCTTCAATGAACCCCACATGTGTCTATCGGCCAGGTTGGCACAATAAACTAACTCACTCACCTACACTCTTACTCCTGAAATTGACACCAGATTATGCACTACCGTGCCTCCTTATGAGGCCACGCCACAAGGAAGCACCATCAGGCTGTGACCTTATTGACAGGGTAGATTGCACCTCTACACTTTCATATCTTCAGGTTGATGTGAAGTTATGTAACCAACAGTCACTAAAGACCATTGCCTCTGAGTCCTTGCCCACGGCATATTCACTGACTGCAGCCTACCCTTAGGCACTGGGACTATAGTTAGAAGAAAAGGATGCATTTGGACTTTGTTGTCCAACCATTTCTTTACAAAGAAGCATTAAAGCAAGGGCAGAGCCACCCTACAGGGGCCTGCAGGTTTCAGGGAGGGAAGGAGACTTGGGTGACCCCTTCCCCACTCTTTCTTGGGCAGAATATTGTCAGTGTGATGGGGCAGTAAGATCCCGAAGCATTCAGCCCCCTATTTCTCTAGGTGTGATGTGGGATGATGCCATCGGAGCCCTTGGGTTCCCTGCCCCAGGGGGTCTGGTGGCTGGGCTGTGGGGACGAGGTGGAGGGCAGTACGAGGCCCTCTCTGCCTGCCAGTTGGCTCGTCTTGGGATGGAGGCTCCTCTCAGAATGGGCTTTTCTTTGTTGTGCTCATGAGATCGATCAGCCAAGGGTAAGTGTTCAGGATGGTTTGTTTTTTGAGTGGGACTATGTTTCTTTTAAAAAAATATCATTTTATTGGAGGCCCTTAGAGCTCTCATCACAATCCATCCATCCATTGTGTCAAGCACATTTGTGCATATGTTGCCATCATCA